CAGACCCACCCTTCACAGGGAATGTAATAACATCAAATTGGTGGAAATAGTTGACTTATACAATAGATGCGCTCTTTTTGAAGCATGGAAGGAAGGGTACAGGCTAAGCTGATTTAATTTGCAGAAGTCTCCTCTTGGATCTGCTGCTGCATCTTATTTTTGACATCTCCCAAAGCTGCAGGACAAGCTCCCTGTCTCCCAGCAGCCACCAGGTTCCTGCACAGGGAAGATGCCCTGGGATGATGCCTCTCTCAGTTAAGTGGAGCATGAGGTTAGAAAGTGGCACTGTGTAACTCCGTGAACAACAGGTCTCACACGTGTAGTAAATGGTGCAAACTGTATTCCTCGTTCTCATCATTATGATAGAGACCTAATCTCCACGCCACACTCAGCAAAGGGAAACAGGAATACGTGAGGCCCAGCCTTTTATAACTACTGCCCAGAACAGAGAGGAACCTGCTTTGATTTCCTTACTTGTACAATATACCACTTCCTCCTACACAACACTTCTGTTGGAAGAGATTCCCTTTTCTCATCTTCTGTTGACCTTGACTGTTTCCTTTTCAAAGCAGAGACAATCTCCTAACATTAAGACTACAGACCCTATTTTGGCTACAGCTGTGTGGCAGGGGAACTGAGTGTCACTTTTAGCTGCTCTTCAATTCTCTCTGTCTTCTTCTTGTCCCACTGTCAAAGGTTACCAGCCCTTCAGCTCTCCCAGCAGAGCTGCTGTTGGAGCTCTGTCTGTCCTGCCTTAATCAAAATGATCCTGTTTCAAGTGTTGAGGCTAACACAGGTCATTTTGAAGTGACTAAGCCTCAAGAGACCACATATGCCAGCAGATTTAAGGAACGACCAGCTCCTGGAGATGATGGAAGGCAGTGGTGAAATAAGGGGGCAGTTAAGGTTACTGCATATATTGTAGAATATTATGGACACTGTGAAAATGAGGAAAAGGAGGGGAAAGCAATTCTTTTACTTTCTCACAGAAAGTCTGCAGTCTAGCTAGGATTCAAAATCAAAATCAGTGCTTACCTTAGAACGACATAAACACACTGCTGCTTCATCTCAGCCAGGGCCACTAAGCTCATCTCCAGTCAAAATAAATGATTATTTAAAGCAAGTGCAGCAGCAGCTGCTGCCACTACTGCCACCAGCAAATGAACGTGGCTTTGTGAGGAGAGAAGGTGCCAGCAGTCAAGTGGCACGACCTGGCCTGCTCACTGCGGCAGGGAAATGATGGAGATCCCAGGAACCCTCCTGCCCAGAGAGCCCATTCCTCTTACTGAACACCCCCAGGCATACAGCACTTCATCTGAACTGTGGGTGCCTTCCTTCCCTAAATGTCATTTCATTTTCGTACCTTTTCTTCTGAGGTGTCAGCCCATGGAGATGTCTCTTGTGCAAGAATGCTGGCTCAGTGTGAATGACAAAACAACAGCATGCCAGGATGCTCAGAGCTCTGAGGAACAGAGATACAGCACTGCATGCTAGATCAGATCCAGGCCAGGTATTTTACAGCTCATGCCTTGCAGGTGCTTAGTCTTTCTTACCTCGTCCATCCTCAGTCATCCTGATTTCATAGCCTGAACAAAAGTCCTACAAGCAAGTGACTGAAGACAAGTAACCAGCCTCTGATCCCCCACACTACTGTGATTTATGTGAAATTATAGCTTGAGTGATTTAGCCAATCCAGACCAGCACAATAATCTGACCTGTGGGGAGAAGCACCCTCACACTGCAGTGCTTACTGACTGCAATGGTGCCAGCCTCGTCAGCTTCTCCCAGCAGCTTTTTGACCTACTAAATCCTGTACACATATCTTGAGTAACAGTGAGGAGACAAAAGCCTGACACATCCAGGCTCTTAAAAGGCACAAAACATGTACTTTAAGTCCTAAGAATAAGCTCAAATTAGATCCCATCTCTGAACAAGAGCATATTTAACTCAACTATTATTAAAGGTTATTGCTTCTCAGTGCAGTGTTCATCCATTTGAAGAACACTTTAATGAACAGAAAGAAAAATATAAATGTTGGTGCTTAATATGCAGATCATAAGAAGTTTCGTGGGAATGTCTAAAGGTTGAGAGGTTTCTCTCCACTAAGCAGGCAAAGAAAGGACACTTATCCAAGCCCTGTGAGGCTGCAGGGTGGGGGTCTGCGTAATGGAAAGCTCTCAAAAACATCTGGTTTGTCTTGGTTCAGTTCAACAGGAAAATACGTTCAAGAGGAAACTCTGGCACTTTTCTAACAGCCATCAAGATTTTCTACAGAATCAACATTGGAAGACAGTTCTGAGACAGGGCTAAAACAGTTTTTTATTTCCATATGTGGTATGAATAAACTGTGTGATTAATTAATTATGACTCTTTAGAGAGTAGCCAGGTACAGGAGGTTGGCTAACTTGGTTTTGCAGAAACCTGAAAAAAACAGGGAGAAGAAAAACTGGCTTATTAACTCCTATCATGCAAGGGCTAATGACAGCATTGAAGACTACTTCATAATACTCCTACTTGAAGAGTCATTAACCCTTTTTAAAAGCAATGTCAGTATGTATGGTCAGAGTTCAAAAGCTCATTGTAAGATGTCGAAGAAAGCTCGATACAAGCTTTCTTTTAAACAAAAGAAATGCTTTTGGTCCCTCATACTCATCAACAGAGTTGAAAAATGTAAACTAAGAGTAAGCTGAAGATGGGACAGTGGAGATGTTAAATCAAAACAAACAAACAAAAAAGTGATCATAAAATGGGCTTGATATCACAGGCAAAAAAAAAAATGTTTTTAAAGCATTGACCAGATTGCATCTTCAGAATGGAGAAAGAAAGGGCTTGAAATAATTGTTCATCTATTTTTCCATCTCTGCTGCTCCTCTCCCACCCCTCTTACTCCCATAACCTCCCTACCTTTCACTGAGTAGGCTATGATGAACTGCCAAGATGTAAAGATGATACAGCAATAGTTAATGGCCTCCTAATAAAACTCAAGTCTTTTACTGTGGTCCACCTTAGAGCACTCTAGCACCTGACAATTCCCTTTCCTTGAAGGCCTCCACCTAGTACATCATTCCTCTTGATCCATGTTATCACTTAAAATGCATTTTCAGCCAACAAACTTGAATTTCATCATGAGCTCTAAAACGTCAGATCATTGGAGGTGTTGTTTGGGGAACTTCTCCTCCTACATACAAAGCTGAACCAAGGCCAAGAGAAAAGAGTGCTGCCTAGCATGCAGAAAAGCTTAAAGGCCTTTCAAGACATTGTGACCATGCTCCTGTTCATGGCACGGGGACGCAGCAAAACAGGACTAAGCTCCTTGTGACCTCTGTGCAACTGATACCCTAGCACAGCATCCACTAGGAAAATAAAAAAGGGGAAAAAGAAAAGGTTTTGTTCACTTCTAGCTTCCTAGAAACTCTGTCCTTTACTTTCAACGTGGTTACACTAACCTATGCCTCTCACACCTTTAGATCATTTACCTATGGCCTGACTTTCTGCAGCTGAGCATGACAGTAACACCACAACCTACAGAAGGCAGCCACCTCGTCTTCTGGCTCGCCCTCAGCATCAGACTATATCTCCTGACTATCTTGACTTTCCCTCAAACAGCCAATCTACTGTTAATTGAGGCTTGGGTCCACAGTTTTCAAGCAAACAAGAGTTCTTAGCTTATTTTCATCAACGATGAGACTGCAAGCCGTAAACCAATCTACAGTTTATGCTCCCCAGGACCAGTGCCAACAAGAAAGATCAGGACTGAAGTGAAAAGGACATGAGCAACCTTTCTTGTCAAGGGCAACTTTTTGTAAAGGACCAGAGAAAATTATGGATAGACAATGAAGATGTGATAAAAATCAGTCTTCTTGCCATAAGTGATAGCTGTACTCTGACTATGCCAATGCCAGCATCACAAAAAGCAAAGGAGAAAAAAAGTCTAAATACAGTTTTGACTATCAGAAATGTGCCAGAATTTCCACGAATCCCAAAACAGATGCTGCTGGTGGTTTGATGTGATTACTGGTTTGTTGTGAAGATTGCTCAAATATAATCTGAGCACCATCACTGTTCATTTTCCCTTTCACACTTTCGATTCTTAAAAAGTTAAATAAGCTGTTCACAAGCCAAGAAAGAAAAAGGGTAAAGGCAGTAGCAATAAGCATTTTAACACTTCAGTATTTCAGACATCATCAGACTTCCCCTAATCTAGTATCAGCTCAACTCACGCACAGACCAGCGAAAACAGTTGACTTGACCACGCTGCAGAAGCCTCTCCACGCCATCCAGTTATGTTTGATTACTTTGCTATTACAAGAGACATAGGTTGCCAGCTGGAGAAAACACATGAAGCCTCAATACAGGAGATAGGAAGGAAACATAAAAGAAGCTGAGCCTGCACCTTCCACCCACGACCACAGGAAAGAGCTGCTACTGGGCACCAACGCATGGAAAAGTTGTGTATTGATACCTGTTCCCATTGAGATACTGCAGATCATGAGGCATGTTTGCAAAGCACTCCCAGCATCTAACAGGGCAACTGACATTGACCTCCATGAATGCAGAGTAAATGACAAAGGGGAAAATTTGAGAATGTATTAAAATATTGAAATAGTCAGCATCCAATAGATTTGCCTATCAATACGGAATTACAGCCTCATTTGAGAACATGTCCAAAACAGGTAGAGTCCTAAATCAATCTCTATTCTAGACAAATTTAAAAGTTAGATATATGCTTAATATTTCATCTTCAGCATATAAATATATGTTTAATATTCAGAAGAGACATAGTAGTTGGATATCAGCAGCAATTCACATTACCTGGCTCAGAAATGTTATTGTCAAAAGCTGAAGTTTGTTCTAGTATATCAGATCATCCCAATAGCTGGAAAGCTGTCATTTTAAAATCTCATTTGAGAGGGGCATAGAATTTTAAATATGTTCTATTCTCTAGGATTATACACCCTTCTTACTGACAGAAAGTTATTATCATATATACATTATTTTACCTGGAATTTTATTTTTTGGCAAATATGAGGCACAACAAACTGCTTCAGGAAGCGTTCATCTTCACTCCAGAACAGTCGGATGTCAGGGATATCATACAGGATCATGGCCAGCCTCTCCAAACCCAAGCCAAATGCCCAGCCAATTTTATCCTGAGCACCAGCTGCAAGAAACAAAGAAATGAAAAAGATAAAAATTCAAGAGCTTAAGTTCACAGTGTGAAAAACTGCTGATAAAATGTTCACTTCTTTCCCAAGGAAAAAGAAAATGAAGTGGAAAGACAGCAAAGCCTGCAAATAATTGACAAATGAAATATCTAAAGGACAGACCCTACCTCCATCTAAAACAGCAGTAGGATTGAGGTATCCTGAGTGCAGGAACCAAAAGTAGCAACAGAGAGAAGCTGCACCCTTAGCTCTCTCAGTCCAAAGTTTCAGACTGACTTTGAAGAACATTGCAAATCATTACACACTATTTTCCCGTATTGTCCTTCGAGCCAAGCATTTTACCTCTTACTTAGGTGTATTTTTACAATACATTTAGGCAGGATTTTCCAATTCAAAATATTTCATTTGGGTTGACAGCTCAGGCCAAGCCAACACGCAGGTGTGCAGAGCAATGGGATTTGAGGCACCCCCACATCAGCATCACAGCTCCCACACTGCTGCACCTGGGGAAAGTCACTGCTCCCACAGAGGCAAGTCTCTTTTATGCAGCACTGCATATGAGAAAACAAGAATATTTAATATAGAAAAGCTTTACAGATATTAATGATGCAACATTCCTGCCTGGAAAGTAAATATTCATACCTTCTTCATTTATAGGACAGAAGCACTAAGTCATTAAACAGCCATTTTTTCAGCAGCAGGAACCACACTCCATGTTTAGGCACCATCCAAACTGAGCAGCTTTGACAAAGGCTCAGAGTTTGTTTGTTTGTTTGTTTTTAATCAAACAAACATCTAAACAAACAAGCTGGCACCGCAATGGTTCAGGGAGACATCACCTGTTATCAGCACTGGCAGTGCACCTCCAGGTCACGTAGCATCACTCCTGGTTACAGAATTACAGAAGGGCTGAGGTTGGAAGGGACCTCTAGAGATCATCTAGTCCAACCCCCCTGCTCCAGCAGGGACACCCAGAGCACGGGGCACAGGGCGGCATCCTGGATCTCCAGAGAAGAGAGATCTCCAGAGAAGGAGACTCCACAGCCTCCCTGGGCAGCCTGTGCCAGGGCTCTGTCACCCTCACAGTGAAGAAGTTCTTCCTTACCATGGAGATGGAACTGCCTGGGTTTCAACTTACACCCATTGCTCCTTGTCCTGTCACTGGCCACCACTGAGAAGAGCTTGGCCCCTTCCTCCCTACATTCCCCCTTCATGTACTTACCTCTCACAGCTAACCAAGGAGACCAAGGCTGAACCTGCCACTAAGTATTAATTTCATTCTTTGAAAACTTAAAACTTAGCAACTTCTCCACTGCTATGCAAGAGGCTAGAGTGAGAACTCTGCTTTCTGATTCCTGTCTCTATTATCTGAGCGGAGGGGAAAAAAAAAAAAAAAAAAAAAAAAAAAAGAGAGTAATCCCAGTATTTGGGCTTTTATCCTGAGATATGCTGCCATATTCACTGCAGAGGAAACAGTAGAGCCCTACATAAATTAGGCAATGGCATAATGAGCCTGGGGAGAGAGAGACAGTCCTTGTTTTGATTCTTTTAATTAATCTGAACCTGCCTATTTACCTGGAACACCACATCCCCAGCAGAACTATGTGAGCCTGATTTGCTACATCAGCAACATTGCACTATTCTTCAGAGAAAACTGACACAGGGATTTTATCAACTTTATAACCACCATCCCCAGAGTACTCTACATATTCTGTCTTGTCCTTTCTAGTGTGCTCACAGTCAAGGTTTTGCACTTTCTGACCTTTCAAAGTGGACAATTAAAATAGTGAATCATGGAAGTCATAAGAAATAGAGGAGAATATGTGACCTCAAGTGGTTCCAGTTACATCCAAGGTGCAGAGGTGCTTAAACCAGTATGTTAGAGCAACGAAGAGACCTCCTGATCTTGGAAACTTATAAACCACACTACATGACATGAAGAATTTCCTTTTTGATTGACTTATCCATAAAGAAAGAAAAGCATCTACAGGATATGTGTTTTATGTGAGCTTTGATTTTAAGTGTGAAGCATAAGTTGTGCCTTTTCCAAGCTGAAGGTACTTTTTTTGCTCTCCATACTCCAGTATATAAAAATTATTCGTCTTTTATGTCTCCAAAGAAGAGAGAAGAACTCATAGCAATGGCATTGATTCCCCAAACTATCCCAAAATTCTGCCCTGCTCTGCCTTCTATCAGCTTCTGCATCAATAATAAAATTTCCATTAATTTCAAAAGTACCAGAAATGTATACATACGTTGTGATGTTTCTGTAGAGTGACTAACAGAGCCAGCCCATCCTTTAGAGATAAACCCTGTCACTTGGAGCAATAGCTGTTAAGATTCAGACCTGCCACCACTTACTCTAAAGGTTTAAACCTGAAATTAAAAACGCCAAGTACAGTATTTATACCTCAATAATTTGCTAAACATTTTAACTCTCCAGTTCATATTTTGATTTTACATCAATAATTTATTTTTAGACGGACTGGGCCATGCCACACGTCTTTGCAAGAGGTAGCAGACAAAACATTCTTTACCCAGCTTTCTGCCTAACAGCTGGGAACATTGTCATCTGAGCTATGAATAAAGACCTACATGCAGGACTATGTCTTTTGGATGATCCTCATACAAACCTTCCGTACACAAACTTCTCACAAGCCAGCAGTCAAAGCTGTAGAAATGAAGAATGCCCTTTTTACTAAACAGAAAACAAACAAACAAAACACAGAGAGGATGAGATTTCCTCCCCGGATCAGCACTGCCAATTCTCATGCACCATTCTCATTATCTTTGTTTATACTACCTCTATTGATCTCTTCTCCAACCTTCTATTTGTAAAGCTCTACATCAAAGTAATTTTTAAGGATATGACTGATCTAAAGATATGATTGACTTTCTTGGGGAAGTCAACAAGACTACAGCATATTCTTTCAGTCAGAAACACATGTTTCTGACTGAAAGATCAGATAGTTTAAAGGTTAGGTATGCTGCTATCCACTCTGTTGAGTGAAGGAGCACTCAAAACATTTCACACCACATATATTTACATACACTGAATTTTGGCAAGTAGGACAGCAAGAAGTCATTTAAGTGCAAGCCAACTTGAAAGAAAGAACACATCAAAAACATTAAACCAATAGGAAAAGAGGTTGATGTTCTGAGGAACACAGCTGGCTCAAGTGGAAAATCTCAGACTCATAGATGCAGTTGCAGCACATCTACTAACTAAAATAACACAGTCCAATGGATAGGACTTTTGTGACACACACACTTGCCCCACTTTGCTCTCCAAGGTTTGGAGATTGCCAGGTTCCTGTTGTTTCATGTGAAAAAACCCTGACCACCCAACAGAAAAAAAAATTGCAGGAAGGTTTGCAAGCCATTTACCCACAGACAGAAAGGAAAGGGATAGGAGATTGACTGGTTCCTCTAACCAGAGTCTGACACTGCCCAATCTGACTCAAGGAGAAGGTTGCACTATTGCCAGTGTGTCTCGTAGAATAGGTCAAGAGACCTCACCTTTCCTGAGAAGCCCTGTCCATCTGCACTGTCCTTAAGCTTCATGCATCGGTCTGCTCTTTAATATAGGCTAATCAAGCCATTTAAAAAAAAATTTTTAAAGTTAAACATCAGTTTGATCAAACATATTTCCACAACCGAAATTTAATAAAATCGGTAATTTGAAGTTAGTCCCTAATGTAACATCAGTCTTCAAAGACAAGGCTTCAGCTCCAAGAGCTCTCTATCATACCAGCACCATCCACTTACTACCTTTCTTTGTCCTATGGTGCTATTACTACTTTACACTACTTCATCCAGGATAGAAAGTGTTGTAATTCCTTACTGAGATACATGTAAGGATCTGCCAGAGCTCACGGATTGAGCTCTGCCAGAGCTCACTATGTCCTCAGAAACATCCAGACAGAAATATTTAGCTTCCCCAGGAAATAGATGCGTGTAAGTCAGGATATTCTGTCTTGTGTAAGATTTTTAAGCCATATTTTAAAACATATTAGGAACCACTTGAGAAAACTTCTTAGTTATGCACTTCAGTCACACTTATTTTTATATCTATACTACCTTTTATTTAATATTTTTCTCTACTCCTGTAAAACTGCCAATAAAGAAATCTTTCTTTCAATAGAGCCTAAATTGAGTCTTCAAAGCCTTATACTCAGCAGTTACTGAGAAGTAAAAGAAATTGAATTTTGATCTTGGATTGAGGCAAAATCAGGAGGATACAACACCCTGCAAGTAAGATGTTCCTCACAAAATGCCCAGAAATTAATATATCCAAAGTGAAGGTAGCTGATGATTTGGAAGAGTTCCAGAAGCAAAGACCTGAACTTGTTCTCCTGCTTCAGCCCAAACCATGGCTATTGCCTAGGCGAAATCACAGACTAGAGCAGCGGGTAGAGAAGTGGACACATTCCCAAGCAGACACAGCCTAGCCATCCTGCTTTATGAAACTCATCAGTGCTTTAAACTGCATAGAAACTAATTCATGGACGTGGCAAACCAGGCACCTCTGAACATTGATTCAACAACTGCCCCGCCTGGAACACTGAATAAAGCGTAGCTCTGGAGTATATTGCTCTCATTCACCAGTGGTAAACAGAAGATAAATGCAAACAAGTTTGAAGGATATAGCCTTACTACCCAGTACAAATGAGAGAAAAGAATGAAACAAAAGTCACAGTTGTTATCCTGCAACACACACCACCTCAAATGGGGAATGTGATTCCCAACCCCCAGTCACAAACATGTGCTCTCTTCCTCTTCTCAGAGATCTTTTGGGGGTACCTGCCCACACAAATAGCAATACCTCAGTCCTCCCTCTCATTCAAACATTGTTCTCGGTTTCTTACCTGGGGTCTGCTTCTCTGCATGCACATTCCCCAAAGCCAGGTCCAAGAGCACAGCAAATCAACAGCAGGGGCACATGGAGCACAGGAGTCCTGGGGCCCTTCTCCAAATCTACCTCTGCATATCACTG